CAACATTCACTCAACATTCGGGCGGGGTGAGAGTAATCCTATCCCCAGGCCTGACGGGATAGCCAGATCTTGAGGGCTGGCTTCCCCCTTCCCCCCTCCTTGCCCTCTCTCCTACTCCTCTCTTCTTCCCTTACTTCTCTAGGAAGGAGACATCTCTGCATGCCAGAAGTAAGGGTTTTTTCCCCTTCCAATATGTATTTTGAGAGGCTGATTGCCACGGCATAGAGTAATTTTAATTAATGATGCCTCAAAAGTAAGCAGGCTCACAATATTTTTTTTTACTGCCAAAAAGATTGGGGAATTTTCTCTACATTTATTGAGAGTGTGTCATCAAATTTTGGAAGTAAAATTTTAGGAAGATTGTATTCTCCAGGGGCTAAAAGCAACACATAAGCCACAAGTTACTCATACCTTGCTGCCAACAAACAAACAAAGAAATAAACAAACAATAGCATCGTCACCTCAAAATTGCAGACAATATGTTGGAAGATCTCCAGGTTTTTGATTGTCGGCTGTTCTAAGCCAGCTTCCATGGTGCCACCAATGGAAAGGACGAGATGCAGAATTCTGCTGTTTAATAGGTGGGCCTTTTTCTTCAACAGATATGCCAGAATCTGTAAAATAATATCGCCCAAAGCCACAACAAAGAGAGGCTTATTCCACAGTATTTTATTTCTATCACTGGATAAGCCATCAATAGCCAAGTATTAAAATCCATTTTATTGCAGAATATAGACAATTAATTTTATGGAAAACCTGCCGCATTATGAAGAGTGAAGGTAGTCACAATGCATGGAAAGTAATGAAACTTTAACCAGAATTCTCTCAGCATTCCCATTTTTCAAAGATCAAAAGGACAAAGAAATAAGTGTCCACTTTCTCCTTAAGAAAAGAGCTGCAGCCACCAAACGAGGACTTGGGGAAATCCATCCGTCCCAGGAAATGAGGCTAATGGGCCTTCTGACTTCTCGGTCTGACTTGCTCGTCCACTGGAGGAACTAAAAGATTTGGGCTTTCTGAGTACAATAAGGCAAAGAAAGGGAATTCTTTCCACCAAGACTGCTAGTGGGAGGGGAAGGTTTCTTTCATTAGAAGGACTCAAAATTCCAAGCTCCAAAACTTTTGAAGGCGACTGGGGAAAACACCTCATCTCCTCCTCCTCCAACAATAGGACAAACGTTCATATTAATTTTGAGTATGAAAATATTGAAAGAACGTCACAATCAACTTTTTTGTAATGAATTTCAGTGCAAGCCACAAATCAGGAGGCCAGACACACTTGCTGTTCAAGTACTGCATTTCTGAATCAATGCACAAGCACCGCCTGCCTGAGAATCAGAAGTTTGGAAAAACCACGTAAGCTCCAATTCTAAAAGCTGCGGGAAAAGAGAGGCGCTCCTGTCTCACCTGATACCCATCGCCTTCATCCCCCATCAGGCGTTCATTCACTGCGCTGCAGCTCATGACGGTCTGCAAGACCTTGACGGCCGCATAAACCGCGTGGTCATCCTGAGCCCTGGCCAGCAGAGCCAGCAGAAGAGAAGGGCCGCCAAGGTAGCTCAGGCTGACCACAGCCGGACAGGACTGGAAGACATGGGTCCCTGGACAGAGGAAGAGAAAAGGCTGACAGGAATTGAATTGTCTCCGAAAGCCTGCCCAGAATAAAATGAGCAGCCAAAAACTTTGTAGAGATATGTAGAAATAACAGAAAATAATAAGTATAGTAATAATTTAGAAAATCAAATATTTTCTCATGCCACATGCAGACTTACATAAGTCTAGTAAACGTTTTACACCAGTAATGCAAATCAGCTGAGCTGTTAGTGGAATCTGACAGCGATGAACACTATGGGACTGCCCTGGAGGCTGAGGAAGACTCTGGGGGGTGTTCGGAGTCAGAGCAGGAACTAGAGAGGCCTGTTGGCCACCAGGTGGCGTCAGAGTCAGGGAGCAGTGAGGAAGAGCAGAGGGAGGCTGTCCTTGACGAACCCATGCATAGGGATGCGAGGAGGAGGGAGCAGCTTTGGAAAAAGGATCACAGAAGGAATAGGAACAGGTGGCTACTGATTGGCCCCTCCCAGAGAGCTTATAGGTGGGGTGATGGGAGGGGACTTTTGCAGGAAACAACAATTTACTAATTCAGCCATAGAGGAAGATTGGGAGACTTTCGTGAGTTCAAGCCTTATTTCATAGAGATAACTTTCTGGGCTCCCAGCCAAGGGATTGCTTATCTCCCTCCTTGGTTGTGGCAGACAGCCAAGTCTGCGTCCATATATATTGTAGAGGCTTGGGACAGA